AATTTAGGAATTATGAGAACGGGATTTCCTAGCACTTCTAATCCATATCATATAGAGTAGAAGATCCCGTAGTATGAATATATTAACGAATACATTAATTTTCAAGACGGAAAACAATACAAAATTCGAATTTTCCTTCGAGCCTAGTGATCGTACAGAAACCAATCGTCATATCTGTCAAACTTAATGACAGCCTGGAGATTACAACATTATTACAACAAATCACAAGATGGCTTCTAAATAAAACTAGAAAGGGCTTAAAACGAGTAGCAATGCTATAATCGATCAACCAAGTTTTATTTAATTTTATTAATTTTAATTTAAGAACACAAAATTTATTCAGCGAAAGAGAAGGAAAATTAAAAATTATAAACAAATTTTCAAAATGAGTTGAAACGAGGTTAATTGACCATTAACAACTCTTTCAAGAGCTAATTAGCTTTAATTATTATTTTAATCTTATCGGTTAGTAGCATTTAGGAGTATTAAGACGACGACACGTTCTCCAAAATGACTGCTTCGCAACTAACAATATTGTCATCTGAGGAGAGTCTCACCGTGAAATCTGTTATGGCAGAAAACGTGCTTTAGATTGAACATCCTTTCACTTCTACATTTTATCTAAATATATCATATCAATTTAAAAATTTAATACACTGCTTTTATGTGCCATTAAATTTTAAAGAGTTAAAATGCGAATAAGTAACTACTTTTAAGACGAAAACTATTCAACTCGAAATTCATAAATAAATAATTTCTCAGTTATTCTGCTTTAGATCACGAATTTGAAAGAAATATATACGAGAAATCGTAATTAATTACACAACAAAGCAGTGAAAAATCACAATAAATAATCGAATGCAATTGTAAATACAATTTAAACTCTAATAAGAGATTCGTTATTAATATTTCTTTTATCTTATCGAAATTTTACTAAAGTTTTGATACATTAAGAATAAATTTTAATGATTTGCATTTTTAAGGGCATTCACCGAATAGAAGCAAAAGTTAAATCGATTGATTCGTAGTTTAAATGCGAAATTTTATGTTCTGTAAAAAACTGTATCAACTTTTATTTCAGTGAACTCGACAAAAGAAATCGAACACGATTGGTTAAAATATGTTAAACAGCGAAGGGAAAAAGAAACACTTCAATGACCAAACCAAGAATCNAATTTAAAAAATTTGATTTTTCGTTCGTCAAGTAGTGCATTATAAACTTGCATTTTAACATTTAATCATGAATGTATTTTGTTCTCTTGAGATCCAAACGCAACAAATTGGTAGAACCCGTTTTACGTAATTTACTGTAATATATAAAATGTAATGTCAATTAATATACAAAAAAAAAAAAACAAAAATTACCCAAAACAATCCTTCGTGCGTCTATTTTATATATATTTTTAATTTTATATTTTAAGAAAATATAAATGTCTCACATGTCTCTGACACATCTTATTTTATCACAACAGGGAGTACGAAAAATTCTACATTTTGAGAAAAATAGAGAATTTATCACTCGTTCAGCGTTGTGATAATACAAATTCTGTTCTCATAATTATTGAGATAAAGCTATCAGAAGAATTTAAACTCGTAACTAACGAAATATTCTAATCAGATGACAAAATTAACTTTATAAAAACTAAAATTAAAATAAACTGTGTTTTTTTTCAAACGAATTTAAATATACAGCTAATCCATTATGTGACAGCATCTACTCTGTATCATCAGATTTTCAATTTCTCGTCCCTCAAATGCTAAAATTTGGATGACCCTAAATTTAAAAAATTGAAGATCTCTCAGCAGATTAGATGCATTACTGCCCTTTTCTTTTATATATATTGGCAATCTAATCATCTAAAAAGAGATATGGAATCAAAGAACATCGGCAGAAGTCGAGATGTTTTTTTTTAAATTTAATACAACAATAACAACAGGAATTTATAAGATTATTATTATTATTATTGCAAAAAATTCCATTAATGATTAACGTGTACTACGATAATCGTTAGGAAGAACAAAATATTGACATTTACATCACTCAGCTGGTCTCCGGATGTACACCTTTGGGGTCGGGTGAGTTCTTCATTCGGCCTGGAGTTCTCTTCATTACTCAATTCTGCAACGCTGGTATTATTGTGTAAGAGGTCTGTGATCTACAAAACATACAATTCATTTAGTTTTATCTCAATATAATATACATTATTCAATTATTATATATTCATATAAGAAATAAATAGTCGATAAGTATAATTGGAGGGGAAAGAAGTTAAAAAAACATAAAATATTCAAACCTGTCCATAAAATTGCGTTTAACTCAATGAAAAATCTCGAGCAGCAGTAAAAAAAATTCGCGACTGTTCGAAATTTTAAAAATTTGATTTTTCGTTCGTCAAGTAGTGCATTATAAACTTGCATTTTAACATTTAATCATGAATGTATTTTGTTCTCTTGAGATCCAAACGCNCGAGCAAACTGGAAACGTATAACTTTAAAGGTAAATGATAATGTTTATAATCCACTGAATAATTTAATTTGATAAACAGAGAAACGGCTAGAACTAATTTAGTATATTAAATTACGACATATCTATACATTTCGAATAAGCTGTAGCCTGTCAATTAAAAATTTAGGAATTATGAGAACGGGATTTCCTAGCACTTCTAATCCATATCATATAGAGTAGAAGATCCCGTAGTATGAATATATTAACGAATACATTAATTTTCAAGACGGAAAACAATACAAAATTCGAATTTTCCTTCGAGCCTAGTGATCGTACAGAAACCAATCGTCATATCTGTCAAACTTAATGACAGCCTGGAGATTACAACATTATTACAACAAATCACAAGATGGCTTCTAAATAAAACTAGAAAGGGCTTAAAACGAGTAGCAATGCTATAATCGATCAACCAAGTTTTATTTAATTTTATTAATTTTAATTTAAGAACACAAAATTTATTCAGCGAAAGAGAAGGAAAATTAAAAATTATAAACAAATTTTCAAAATGAGTTGAAACGAGGTTAATTGACCATTAACAACTCTTTCAAGAGCTAATTAGCTTTAATTATTATTTTAATCTTATCGGTTAGTAGCATTTAGGAGTATTAAGACGACGACACGTTCTCCAAAATGACTGCTTCGCAACTAACAATATTGTCATCTGAGGAGAGTCTCACCGTGAAATCTGTTATGGCAGAAAACGTGCTTTAGATTGAACATCCTTTCACTTCTACATTTTATCTAAATATATCATATCAATTTAAAAATTTAATACACTGCTTTTATGTGCCATTAAATTTTAAAGAGTTAAAATGCGAATAAGTAACTACTTTTAAGACGAAAACTATTCAACTCGAAATTCATAAATAAATAATTTCTCAGTTATTCTGCTTTAGATCACGAATTTGAAAGAAATATATACGAGAAATCGTAATTAATTACACAACAAAGCAGTGAAAAATCACAATAAATAATCGAATGCAATTGTAAATACAATTTAAACTCTAATAAGAGATTCGTTATTAATATTTCTTTTATCTTATCGAAATTTTACTAAAGTTTTGATACATTAAGAATAAATTTTAATGATTTGCATTTTTAAGGGCATTCACCGAATAGAAGCAAAAGTTAAATCGATTGATTCGTAGTTTAAATGCGAAATTTTATGTTCTGTAAAAAACTGTATCAACTTTTATTTCAGTGAACTCGACAAAAGAAATCGAACACGATTGGTTAAAATATGTTAAACAGCGAAGGGAAAAAGAAACACTTCAATGACCAAACCAAGAATCAGTTTCAATATAGAATTTTCCCAAGGAAGAAAGTACTTTCAAACTTTTAACATATGCTATCATAAATTCACGTCTGTAGAATTTGCGGTGTATCGTTTTTAAAAAAAAAAATAAAAGCTTTGGAACAATTTCTACTACAGAAATTTCTTTTTTCCGTTGGAATTTCTTTCTTCGATCATTATGTGGCTGTTCTATTATATTTTAGTGTATGTCGACAACTTAAAATAGCACGCAATGGAAAATAAATATTAAAATTTTCTGCTAACATAATTTTACACTTGTTATCTGACAAAAGAAACTTTAAACTTTGGTAACACAGATACATCCATTCAGATTTATATAGAAATTATATAATAATTATTTTATCATTCAATATCATGTTGAATTTGTATTCTCGCTCATGTGGAGGTAGTCTAGGAACCTTTTTATATATTATATCATATACTATATATACTATATTTACAAAATTTTAAGGCATGTAGACATTAGAAGAACAGGAGTAATCTATTAATTAAGGTCTATGCTGTTAATTCCAAGTACTCCTGTTTTATCACACAGTATTTATTTGTTTACTTTTAAAATGTTGATATTTATAAAATACTTTTAAATTTAACAGTTATTTAATTATATTTAGAAAAGGGGAAACAACTGTACACGTATAAAATAAACAAAAAGCTATTTTATCTATTAAATAAGATTTAAATTCATTACCTTTGTATATTTATAAATTCTGAAAACTGACCTTAATGCATTTTATGAGTACAGTATTTTATACTCAATTTATAACGTAAACAGCCTATAACGAATATAAATTGAAATGATGGAAACGGTCAGACACACAATAATATGTAAATATTACGTTCTAAACGAAAAGTTAGCATGGAAGTTGTTACACAGATAAAGTATAACATCGTCTTCTAATAAATATATGTAGTCTATTAAATAAATTCTTCACTGCCTTTTTTAAGTTTTGGTTTATTTATTTATTTAGATATGATTTTTCATAAATTTTATAAAGAATAATTGAATGTTCAATATAATGTCATTTACTCGTTAAACGAATTTTAGTTCAAAGAGAATATAATTTATTAATGTGATTTTGATACCTCCTGAAATATACGCTCAAAACTAAATAACATTATTAAATATTCATAAATCTAAGGAAAACGATCTCTACGAATAAATTTTAAATATAAACTTACCAAATATCCACGCTCTGAGCTAGTGTGGCTGCTTACCTGTAAGAGAAAATCGAGATTTAAGTACGATAAAAAAAAAATTTATAACAACAACAAGTAATTGTGTTTTATTACATTTTATTTGAACTTAAAAGTTACTTATGGCAATTTTAATAATAAATCGGTGAGTATATAGTTTACTCTCATAAAAAAAATAATTAAAAATTGAAATCATGCCAATGGAAGTAGGCAAAATTTAATAAATTATGTTAAATGTACAGTACGGGAATATTAATATTTATCATCACTTCATCGTCTTCAAATTAACAAGACTAAACATATTCAAATAAAATCATAAAAAAATATATTAAATTTCGAAGACATCATTTAAGCATATTTACGTAATAATGCTTTTAAATACAATAAATATGTTTAATTCTGCCTCCAAAACATTATTTCCAAATCAAATTATAACTAAGCACAATAGTTAAACGTGAATATCGATGAAGAAACACAAATATTTTGAGATGCGCAAAAAGTAAAGAAATTGAGTTTCCAAATAAATTCATATTGTACTCGAATTGCAATTGAATGCAATTTCGTAATTTTTTAAAACCTTCCAGATTTATTTAACTACATACTAATATTTAATGAAGAAACAATCAATTAGATTTCTCATAAAATAACGTTAAATCTAACGCTGCTTTTTAAATAACAGCTTCGCTTGTTTTTTCTACTTGAGCGAATTCTTTCCTTCCAATTTTTATCGTAACTTAATGATTTTACAACTATTCAAATATAAACAATAAAAAACTAAGGAATAAACATTCATTACTAAAGAACAGCTAATGTAATTTTGATCAAAGACACTCCCAAAATTTTATTTCCAATTTCAGACTACTGGTTATTTCTACTCTACCATTATATTCTACTTATAGTTTAGTGTTATTCACTATTTTGATCTCTACCAAAACAGAAGAATAAACATTTATAAGCACTGCAACTGTCATTTCGATCATTACGGAAACTGCTAATTTCATCACTTTTTATTCATTTATTTATCTATATAACTGAGTAAAATTCGAAGTTTAAACATTTTCATTTGGCAAAAGCAAGTGTTTAAAATTGCTAATAATGAAAATGGAATAATTAGCTAACAAAACATTCTTGGAATTTCTAAATCTAATGACGCGTTGGCTTATTACGATTTCACGCTAAACTAGTATTAAAGTTGCCAGAAAAAATAAAAACTGTTGAACAAAAATAAGAAAAGGTAGTCATAATGATATTTATGATTCTTGATTTGCTCAGTAAATTAATATGAAGTGCATTTAATTTATAAGAGAATATTTTCGGCCAGATACAGAATATATTCGCAACAATACTTATTGAAATTCATAAATAATTAAAAAAAGAAAAAAAGCTTTAGCCGAGATACTGAGCGAGTAATAATATATTTGAAAACCAAGTACAAACTAACTAAATAATAAAAAGCAAACAAAGGTAAAAGAGAATTTAACTAAATCAAGCTTTTAATTGCAAACAAATGGATGTAAAGATAAATTCGACAGTACAGAACTTTACATCATTGAAAAATTCTTATCGAATTCCTTCCACTGTAACTATAAATTTCATAATAAGCAATATTATATAAATATTTTTCTAACAAATGAGTAGCATTAGCCACAAACAAGTTATAGATCAGTTGTAAGCCAGTTCGAAAAGAACTTATAGATTGGCGCTTTCCAAGTGGATTTTGTGACACCTGGGCTATTCGCATGGTTCCCAACGGGACCGGTCACCGAGTCACCAACACAACTCGAAAAGCTCTGCGGCCATGCCAATAGCAAAGAATAACAAGATCGCTCCAAATCTCCGACGAATCACAAAGGACATATTACGTGAAAAGTTTCAGAAAACCAACCTCGCGTACAGGCTCTACGTCTACAGATTGTAAATTTTGCACAAAAATATAATAATATTCTAATTAATGCAACGTATAATTAAAAGTTTAAAGACAATTCGAGTTGTCAAAACTACTTCTCAGCATTAAAATCTTACCAATTTTACGGCAGCTCGAAGTAAATTTTATACGAACGTATTCTCGGAGGTTCTTCTAAAAAAACTTAGTAGACATAATTTAGTAACAGACTTAGCAGATACGGTAGCAATATTAAAAATATTTTAACTACAGTATACAAATATTATCAAATCATCGACGTTAGAATAAAGCATTTCTCTCTTAAGTAATTTGATAATTAATATGTCGACAGGATTAATAGAACGATTCATTTAGCCGGCTAGTCTCTATCCATTCGATCGCATTGGCCACGATTGGAATCTCGACGTCTCATAGAATAAGGATTAACGGACCGAACCCAAATTCTTTCGAAAAAAAAAGCAAGCAAAGTGTAGAAGAACGACGAGGGGTGGCATTCCATCACGGATTTCGACGGAACGACGATAAAATTTATTTACTTAGCGACTAAAAACGGTTAAAAATTCTTTAAATGGCAGGTGAGATAAAAAGCCATTTAAAATAAATTTAATTGAGTCGTACGAGAATGGCTTTTTAAAAAGTTCTCGTGTAAAAACTATACGTCGATGCTACTCCATTCGATTAGTAAGAGAAATAAAAAAGATTTATCCAGAAGTATATTCCGTGCATTACCAGACACGCCGAATATTTGCCTTTGTCAATAGAGCCATACCTATGACACTATAATAACAAGTTGTCTCGCCCTATTTCATTACAATGACACCGATACCGCCTACGTGGCTACCGATTGGTCGAAAAGTATTGTCATGACAACGGCATCCCGCAAGCTCACATCGCTTCCATTACGTCGACGTAAGAACAAAAGAAAGAAATCCGTGTAGTTACTAACCGACGGTTGCTCGGTAACAACTACATAGACAAGTCACGTTCGATGATCGAACACGATTCCCACCAAGTTATTCTGCAGTAGGAAAAAATAAAATAAATAAATAAAAATGAAACAGCATTTATTTTTACAAATGATTTTTGTAATTTTTCCACCAAATACGACAACTTCCCATTCTTAAAATTCTGTAAAAACACGATACAAATCTAACGGGATTTATTTAGCCGTAAACACTATGGTCTACACCTAAACGACAAATCATAATTAGAATCGAGAGCAAAAATATTTTTAAAATGCGATTAAAAATAAATAAATAAATGTTAAGTTTTATAATATTCATGTTTTTCACGTCGCGCCATTTTCTTTATTGCATTTGCATCCACGAGGGACGAGAGAGAATATATGTAATTCCTATTATAAAATGGTTTCGCAAACTTATCAATTAAAAATTAAGGGGAAAATAGACGTATGCTCCATTAAATCAACTAAAATTGAAGGAGAGTTCTTGCGAAAGAAAAGAACTGTTAAATCGATCTGACAGATTACAAGTAATCCCTGACCTTGGATGTCAGCCAGAGAAAGAGGTGTTAAGTGGATGATGCCATCTCACGGTGCAACATGTTATTTGACTGACACAACAATTACTACATATCAATAAACAGTCTTATGAGGTTAAGCGAATCATCTCGCAGGTATTAATTTTTGATAAATTTTGATGAGATAATCACTCCAACAATCGACCCTCTTTATATTAATAGAGGAACGTTATTAGCTTTTTACATCTCCTATTTAATTAGTAAATGCCGTTTTTCTCAAAATCAAAAACCGATAAGTTATTATTTGGGCAATAATTCGATCTATTATTATTGAAAATAAATTTTATCATTTATTTGCTAGAACTCGAATCAACTATCCAAGCATTAAATCACGAAATTCGAATTGAATTCTTATAAAGATAATTAGCATATTCAAAAAGAACTTAGAAAAATCTACTGTTTATTTCAGTCTTTATAATTAAGGAATTAAGTTTACACACAAACTAACTTAACACATACAGAATTGAGATAAATCTCCAACAGATAAGTGTAATTTTACAATTAAAATGTATTTAAAGTCGGTTCTGAGAAATAATATTAAACGTTTATAAAACGTATATGAATCATCTATTTTCTATAAATATATTTAGTTCTGTTTAAATATGATAATAGATAAATGAGAACTTTAGAATTTCATTTATCCATCATCAAGATGAATGAAAGTAAACGGAGTTTGTTTTTTCTGGAATTTCGTTTCACAGAATCTCTATATATTTATATAAAATTCTGTTTTCAAAGTTTGATAAGCGAGTATATGTTTTAAATTTAAAACTATTTTATCATCAATGAAAAGATAGCTCCCAATCACTTGTTTAGTCTACAATAATGATAACAACATAAGTTAACATAAAAAAATAGTAAAATTATATAAGTTTATATGTATATTTATATATCATATACATTAGCAGCGGTTCGTGGATCGCTGATGGTCCACGAGAAAATTTTAGTGGTGCTTAAAGAAATTTGGACATCGATCAACTCAAGGTTACGTGAAGTATTACAAAAGAAATGCAAAATGCTTGGTTGCTTTTTCTCACTCATTCGGTGTTTTTTTTATTCGAATCTAAAAACAAACACGAAATTATTTATCAATAAATAATAAACAGTAAATAATGTGAATGCGATTGTCGTCCTTCGTGGAATAGAGCCAAGAATTCATACAGTTATTTCGAACAAGCGGCAACAAACTTCACACTTATTTATTATAATTAAACAAGTAAATTTCATATTAATAAAGTAAAATTTTATAATCATTATTCCATAGATGTTTTTATCTTTTAAAAAAAAATCATGATAGTGGTCGGCGGGTTTCAGAATTGTGAGTTTAGTGGTCCGTGAGGTCAGAAAGGTTGGAGACCGCTGATGTAGATTATACTTTGGAGACTTTATACTGCTTCTGAGTGTGTATGTTTGGATAAAAGCACCCCAATGATTCCCTAACATAATCTACTCAAACAGTCTAAAGCATTTTTTAAATGAAACTAATAGCTGATTCAACTGTGTAATATATAGTGTTATAATCAGTGTTATATTTTATTTATTTATTTATATTTGTAACTAGGGTTCTGACATGTTTTTAGCTAATTCTTCTGCAGCTATTCTTCTTCGAGATACTATTACGTTGTTGCTTATTTTCATTACGTTTTATCTAAGAAACTGATGATTCTTACTGCTATTGTGGAATGATTTTCCTACAATTTTAGGAGTTCGCATATATAAGCGTGATTTGAGGGCTCAGTTATTTATTTATTTTATTTTTTATAAATTACAGAAATTATATGTATAGTATAATTATTAATATTTATAAATATTTAAGTAAGACAGGATTTTAGCGGTTTATAACTTTTAATAAAGTTATGAACCGCTAAAATCTAGTTTGGGACATAACGATTATTTTTATGTTAAATTAATACAAAGCAACGCTTGATATTTTAGTTTCCATAATGTTGTAGTTATACTCTGTTATACGTAGTATTTAACCGTATTTATACAACTATTTTGTTTGAATTAATCTAAAATAAACTTTACTTATAGCTATATTTAAGTAAACACTTTTGAAGTTAATCAGTCAACTTTTAAGTAAAATTAAGTATTTTACACTATCGAAAGTGCATTATTTTTCTATTATGTATTGCAAATATTATATTAAATGCGTTTATTGTACGTGCCTTTTACAAAAATCGATACAATGCAAGACAAAATTTAAATTTTCATCTGCAATACACACAAAAGAAAATAGCGAAATATTAGATATGTCAAAAAATAAATAAAAATATCGAAAGAGTTTTACTGAAATAAACATTTTCCTTCGGTCAAAGACTACATTTTTTTAGACGAATTCTACCTACAAAGCTATGAAATGAAATTACATGCATTTTTACATTGCTGAGTTGAAAAGGTACACTTTTTCATTACTTAAAATATTCAATAAATAAATCTTAATTTTAAAAATATTCTTGATTCTGTATAAAAATACATTCGAATAAATTTCGAGACAACTCACTGCAGATGTGTTCGTTTAAATGTTTGATGTAATTAATGCTTCTTTTATTTAAAATAATAAATTTTAATTAAATTTTTATTACTTTTATTAAATGCGCTTTAATAAAAGAACTTACTGATTACGTCAATTATAAAACAGAAAATTACTAAACAAAAAAATACTTTTACAATTATTATATAAGAAGAAACAATTTTAAAATAATTAAAATCAGTTAATTTTAAAACAACAAAACAATAATTATAATTAAATTTAACATTACAAAATATTTATTTTGAAAAATTGAGAATAGTTTTAAATGTAAAATGTTTTTAACGTAAACAATTTTTTTCTCTCTCGTCGGTGGTATTTTCCAGAATTCTTCACTGTTAACTTGTACATTAATGATTTCGTGTATTCATTCCACGACCATGACTCAATAAACCCAAATTTTACTAAGATCCATAATAATTCTCTTAACTGGTTTCAATTCACAAGAAAAAAAAAAAATAAGAAGTTAAGTTATTTGTAAGTAAACAGGTTACATTTTCACAAACTATAAAAATCTTTTGAAATAATATAACGAGGATGCAATAAAAGAAACTTTTATATTCGTACTACAGCTCTATTTAAATGAATGCAATATAAAATTTAAAAAAAAAAACTAGAATTCGTATAAAATTATGATTTTAACTTCACATAAAAAACCCATTAGTAAGGTCGAATATACTTATAAGAAACTGAGTATGTAGGTGAAGTATTATCATGTACTTTGGTAGGTTAAGGTAAACTGGAATAAGATTATTATTTAATGATGATCAGTGTAAGATGTTTCTCTTAAAAGTTAGAACTGTTAGTTGTGTACACTGGCTAAAAACAATAGAATAAAATGCTATGTAGATTAACGATTACTTACATCAGCGAATTCCAAGTTCATCAAAACATTTTAGGTTTAAAGTGTTAAAATTTTAATATATGAGCATTTATTGTATTTAAGAATAAGTCTTATTAAAATTACACAGGATTTTTACGGGTAAAATTATTACCTATTACGAGAAAAATTACCTATGTACTATGAGATATATTTATCTTACTTCTAGTAAATATTTTACAAATATTAATGCTACAAAAATTAAAATATTTCTTAAAGAATTCTCAGTATTTGTTAACACGGTAAAAATGTAATATACGTTTTAACAATTAAAAATTAAATCTGCAATTAAAATATAAATTTTAAAAATTATATACTAATTAATTTAATTAATTAATAGACTATATATTAAAATTATATATATTTTTAATTTTATATTTTAAGAAAATATAAATGTCTCACATGTCTCTGACACATCTTATTTTATCACAACAGGAAGTACGAAAAATTCTACATTTTGAGAAAAATAGAGAATTTATCACTCGTTCAGCGTTGTGATAATACAAATTCTGTTCTCATAATTATTGAGATAAAGCTATCAGAAGAATTTAAACTCGTAACTAACGAAATATTCTAATCAGATGACAAAATTAACTTTATAAAAACTAAAATTAAAATAAACTGTGTTTTTTTTCAAACGAATTTAAATATACAGCTAATCCATTATGTGACAGCATCTACTCTGTATCATCAGATTTTCAATTTCTCGTCCCTCAAATGCTAAAATTTGGATGGCCCTAAATTTAAAAAATTGAAGATCTCTCAGCAGATTAGATGCATTACTGCCCTTTTCTTTTATATATATTGGCAATCTAATCATCTAAAAAGAGATATGGAATCAAAGAACATCGGCAGAAGTCGAGATGTTTTTTTTTTAAATTTAATACAATAACAACAGGAATTTATAAGATTATTATTATTATTATTGCAAAAAATTCCATTAATGATTAACGTGTACTACGATAATCGTTAGGAAGAACAAAATATTGACATTTACATCACTCAGCTGGTCTCCGGATGTACACCTTTGGGGTCGGGTGAGTTCTTCATTCGGCCTGGAGTTCTCTTCATTACTCAATTCTGCAACGCTGGTATTATTGTGTAAGAGGTCTGTGATCTACAAAACATACAATTCATTTAGTTTTATCTCAATATAATATACATTATTCAATTATTATATATTCATATAAGAAATAAATAGTCGATAAGTATAATTGGAGGGGAAAGAAGTTAAAAAAACATAAAATATTCAAACCTGTCCATAAAATTGCGTTTAACTCAATGAAAAATCTCGAGCGGCAGTAAAAAAATTCGCGACTGTTCAAAATTTAAAAAATTTGATTTTTCGTTCGTCAAGTAGTGCATTATAAACTTGCATTTTAACATTTAATCATGAATGTATTTTGTTCTCTTGAGATCCAAACGCAACAAATTGGTAGAACCCGTTTTACGTAATTTACTGTAATATATAAAATGTAATGTCAATTAATATACAAAAAAAAAAAACAAAAATTACCCAAAACAATCCTTCGTGCGTCTATTTTATATATATTTTTAATTTCCTGAACAATAAAAATAATCTTTGCTTTTTTTAAAGTTTTAATCACAGAAAATATTTCATAATTTATACCAGAAATTTCCTTTTACTAATATTTTCTCATTTATAATAAGGAAATAATAAAAATTTAATGATTTATTATTATAGTAAGCAATAATTCATCAGCATTAAAATCATTATACAGAACTCAATAATTATGGTATACGTGATATCTAACACGCAATGAATAAGTCGTTAAAATTTCGCCTTTCCTCGTGACAAATATGAAATAATTAATTCGAATGACGCCATCTTGTGAAATTTAGTTCTTGCAATTTAAAAAAAAAAAATAAAAAATTTCTCGATGGTGGTAAAGCCACCGACAAAATCCTGGATTCGATTTCAGCTTAACGCTAAAGGAATCCGGGATCAAATCCCAAGACTCCATTCTTTGAAAAGATTTTTTCAAGGAAATCCGGGTTGGGCCCATCGATCCCCTTTTCTCATCACAACGGTCCACCCTATCCGAGTCCGACCGACCACAATGACCTTTTGTTCTACAATTCTCTTGCAGTTAAAACACTGTTACAAACAAATTCTTATCTTAAAACCGAGATAAATTTCAACGTGTATATAATATATATTGAAATTTATGTCGTATACATATATAAAATAAATATTCCAACGTACAAAAAAAATCAGATTTTTAATATTTAAATCGATAAAACAATACAAATAATTACAAATATTTCAATTCAGTATAAAAAATTCTCTCTCTCATGTATCTTCCATTAAAACAAAGCAATGTTTGGTATTCAATTTAATATAATAAATTTATATAAACTTCATAATTAGAAATGATTAAAAAAATATTAAAAAACACACAATTATATAAGGATAACATTTTAAAATAAAAGTTTAATCGCATGTTTAGTTGCTATACACAGCAGTGCGCATTTAGAAATAAGAAAAAAGAGAGAAAGGTAAACGTCAAAGAAAATAAAAAAAAAAGTTTTCCCTCTCTGAATTTCACATCACCCATGCACCCTCCACCTTGTCAGAGAGAGTCGTGTATAACGTGACAATAGAAAACTATTCTCTCCACGCCTCCAGCACGTGCACAGAGTACCACCCCACCCCAATTGTCGTACCCAGTTAATGGAATCAGAGGTGAGAAAGTCAGCAATTAAGAGCAGACGTGCTGCGCTTCGTTAAAATAGATGGCAGGGGAAAAAATCATCTATAGTTAGTAAAAGAAATATTTCAAATAAAAAAGTATATGTATATAGGCCTATATATTATAGATCGGAAAAATTCAAATGGGTTGATTTTATAGGGAGAGAAAAACTCACTCAATCATTTTACAAATTATCGTGAAAAGTATAGTTGACAGCGATCAGATGTTAAGAATAATGACTATTATAGCGATTAAAGCGTTTGATAAATTATCTTATAAAAGTTATATATATGTAATAATCATATATATCATTTCATAAAAATGCTGAACTTCACTATTTATAAATCATAAAAACTTGAAAGTACATGTTAAAATAATTAAATGAATGGAAAACATTTTACTTTCAATTCTTTTATCAACAATATTTCTATCCGAGAGAGGGGAAGGATCTATAATCTTTTCAAAAAATTACAAAACCAATCTTTTATAATTAATTCCCGATAAGACGGCTTAATACAAAATGCAATTTTACAAAAGAAAAAAAAATTATTTAACAGCCGATACTAGAATTATATTCTTTATGTTGTTGATAATGTTATTTTCGTTAGTAAAACATCATTTTATTTTTAATCATCAATCATCATTCTTGGAGAAACAATACATAAAAGAGTTTCCTGACAAAGAGTAATGTATTTGACTTCCTTAGAAAACTGCGTTATAATTATTATCTTTTGAGATGTTTCAAATTTCTGTACTAATTACATTAATATATTTGATATTCATTATGAAATAACATCTCGGAAGTATTTAAATTAAAATCATTAAGTAAAATGAGATAAACGAAGACACAGAAATTTACGATAGATAACTATAATTATTGTCTTCAAGTGGATAAAAATAGGCTATAGACGATTAGAAACTATGAAAATTTACAATGCTTTTTAACTTTACTTTTATCGTGCTAAATGAAATATTGATAAATCGAAATTTTTCTTAAATTTTTCTAATTTAGTATTTTTGTTAACTCATTAAGCATTTTCCATTTCGTAGAGAAAGTAAAAATCCGAAGACGAAGGACTCGTTAGAGACAAAAATCTCATATACAAAATGAATCGTTCAAATTCTCTCGTCGATGGCACATCGATATTTTATTAATTGAAAGCTACGGAGTGGTAAAGAATGATAAACCGTAGCGTTATAGAGAAACATTTTAAATTTAGTTTATCGTGTTTCAAAAAAAAAAATCTATCATATCGATTTATGAATTTGGATTTCACCCTCTCGCCAAGAGATTCACTATCGGTTTGTATTTTTCCAAAGACCGCTCGGTACCCTCGAGGCCAAAAAAGGGAATGAATAAAATGGTGGTCTCTCATATCTCCGGCGGAACCCCAAGGAATCCCGCAACCCGGTTTGGGAAATCCAGAGATAGAGCGTGAGGAGAAAATTCGCTCCAACTTTAAGAAGTGTCTAATTTCAAATACGAAAATAATTTTATATAAATAGAATAAGACTACTCTTATGTGCATTTCGCCGTCTTTCTGCAGTGGCACAGAATCGTCAAGAAATAAATCTGGATTAACCTCAATATATCGGGAAAGAGATAAAACAGTAGACAAATTTCCCGTTTCCGAATAAATTAGGCCTACGAATTATTTTTTTTTTTGCTCCATTCGCAGCCTTATGATATGATGCAACACGAATCGTTGCTACAAGATCGAATGGAAACAGTTTTTCGAGTGCTTGACAGAGAATCTTGAAACTTTCTAAACAAATTACTTCCGTCGTGAGTTTCGCAGACAAACATTAGATATTTCTATATCAAAATTCTATTGCGTTCCGTAAACATTTTAATTATGAATTTTAGATTAATTTATCTAAAATAAGCCATCAATTTATTTATAGGCTAATTACAACAGAAATAATATTCACACGCGTGTTTTTTAAGCCTTATAAAACCATAATTCGACATCGAGTAAAATTAAGTTATAAATGTAAAATGAAGGAAAAACTAAAGCCGAAATAATTTTTAGAACAACAAGCCTCGTAGGTGAGAATAAAGAAACGTAATGAATCTGATCAATCAATAAGGTTTAAATTTATATTGACATACCAAAAATGACAAAAATTTCTACTACTGTATAAACAATTGATGAGATAAAAGATTATATATTTTTAAACGGGGCCAAATATTTTTCTCCTCGGATTAATTTGAAATGAGGATGAAGAAGATCTTGTCTAAGGCAGCTAACATAACAATTCGACAACGAACCAATTTCTAGCATCTCCGAAACGATAGAACTAGTGGAGCGCCTTGTTCGAGTCACGCACGATGCCAACGTTTTGGATGGCAAAGACGACAAGATGACAATTAGGACGACAAAAGACAACTAAGGACGGGGGCACCGAAAGGGATGGAGAACTGTTGTCGCCTGATTGGGCGGACTGAGACTCGTAATTACAGCACACCCTAGCGGACAAATATGTAATAATCTAATGTAAACTTAATGATCCCAGGGCGCATGATGATTTCATTAATATTCCTGCTCCCGGATTCATTAAAATTACATTAGAGGATGTCCCGTGGTTCCTCTAATTAGTGACAGACGCAGTTTCACCCTTACCGGATCGGTGTCACATGATTGTTAATAGGAGAGAATTAGTTGGTAGGATGGAAGTGCGGCAAACAACTTTTATCGAGAGAATTTGGATCGTTGTCAATTAGGGAATCTGCTTCGACGAGGGTTTAATTTGAATTTTATTTTACCCTTCGAATAAAACGTGTTCGAAAATAATTGAGCCTTCTCATTTATAAGTTTATTTTATTCCATTTAAACTTATGATTTTTCATTTATGACGACATCTAATATCGTGGGTGGGTTACAATTTGATTTATTCTCCGATTCCATTTATGATTTAAATTTTATCATTACGATTCTTTACGCATTCTGAATCTTGTCAAAATAATTTAATATATTATTTATTTATTTATCCAAAGAAAGATATAATATATGAATATCAATTATACATTAAAAAAGATTTTTAAATTAAAAAATGTATAATTTTCTATTTAATATTTAATCACTCCTCTGTATGAGGAAAAGTTAAAAAGTTACTACGCAATAACGAAGAAAAAATTTAATTAATTCTTTTCAATCATTGTAACAAATTTTTTAGCATGATTCAAGAACTAAACTAAATATTTATAAATAATAAGATTAATCAATTTTTTTGCAATGTCAGAAATTTCGTTCCGTGACAACCTTCTATTAATCGAGCTTTCAATCAAACAAAAAAAAAGTTTAATAAACCCTTTCAGATAAGACGATAGTAAACTGGAATCAATATCATTCGATCTCCAGATTTTCCTGTTAAATAATTAAGGATACATGCAAACATGAAT